GAAGGCAGAGGCAGGTGGATTCCAGGGCACTTGTTGGTCAGCTAAGCCCGTAGTATGCAGACCATCTGTAGAAAAAGCAAGAAACCCTGCCTCAAACAAGGGGAAAGAAAGAATTGATTTCTGAAAGTCATTGTATATAGCATCATAAATGGAATCTACTTTCAAAGAAAACCAGATATTTTCAATTAACCAAATTTCTAGAATTGCATAATGTTCTCTGTGATCTAGTCTTTACTAAATCACACAATATAGAGACGAGAATAAATGTACACAGCATGGGGATGGTTCCGTGAATATATTAGTTTGGGATTCAGATTACAGAATCAAGCTGAAGTAGCTGCAGTTGAGTAGTTGCAAATGGAGGAGTCATTGCTTAAGCAAAGATGTAAACTTGGGATTAAATAAGAATCTGACATAGAACTTGGCACACGTAAGTACCTACAACAAGGTAGGAGTGTGTGTGTGTGTGTGTGTGTGTGTGTGTGTGTGTGTGTGTGTGTGTGTGTGTGCTTGAACACAGATGTAATGGGAGACAAATAGAGTTAGAGGAATTCAGGTGTACAAATCTTCAAGATGCTTAGAATGTGGAAGATCAGCTGGAAGAAGGACAATGTCATCTTTGTTTGCACAACTCTGTGATGGGAGGAAAATTGGGTTTACAGTAGGATCCCTTTGGTTCCATGTAGCAAAATTCATTATCAAATGCATAAATCACCACCAGAAGTTCAGATTATGGTTCTTCCATGGTTTTATGATGGCACCAAGTCTGAAAGCTTTCCACTGTTCTTTATGTAACTATTATTTACTGTTGTCTAGTCTTGTGTATTAGTTTATTATTTTGATATTATATGGAGTTGGTAGCCCAAATTATTCTATCTTTAACCCCTGCTTTTTATCATGCAAGAAAGTGAAAATTTACTTTATATAAATTATAAATCTTCCCTGAAATAATGCAATATATTTGGATCAAACCAGAGTTATATGAAATGTCTCTAAACCAATCAGTCATAAAGGGTAGTGACCAATCTTGATCTATCCTTGATGGCTGGGTTAGATGATGCAGGAATAAAAGCAAGGCTTCATTACTAATGAAGAATGGACAAATGGGGACATTCAATTAACAGTATCTTCCATGGGAAAGACATTGTTGAAGATGAACCAAGCAAACTGATTGCCTACTAATGTGCATTATTTTCAAATAATTTGGAAAATAGGACATATACTGTTTATCTATTGATGTTATAGGAACAATCAATGATGTTCATTTTCTCTCTGTGGTTCTAGACAAGAAAATTTGTTTTGTATTGCTTTTTAATTTTTTTGTTTCTCTGCTAAGATACACAGTCACTGAAAATATATCTTTTTGAACAGGCCTATTTTGCTAGTCACTGTATTCTTAAATTGGGTTTCTAGTTTGGCTCCCAGGAAACTAGACCTAAACTTTATTTCTTTCTTGTTCCACTCAAGTGAGTATATCAGACTACAATTGAATGAAGGGATACAATTAGATGAGTAACCTTTAAGACAGACTAATTTATGTAGAAACAGCAAATCACTTTCCAATTTTGGTATTTGAACTATTATTACCATCAAATTATGGCCCTTGTGTCACATGGCATGCATTGTTGAAATGTGCCCAAATGTCTGGCCTTCTGGGTTAAAAGCTTTGCCCAAGAAGACAGCTCTCCTCTCCCTTTGTGACCCTTGCTTTATTGTTTTCACAATTGTACATTTCCTTAATCGATGCCTGTTAAGTCAAATGGTAACTTCTAAAGAGAAAATAAAGTTTATAGCATTCCCAGCAAGACACACTTATGTGAAAACACGGTCTTTTGTTAGGTTTGGGGTGGTCTACTAAGATATGCCCACAGACACAACACTTTTCAGTCACCATAGTTAATCTTTCTCTTAAAGCATGCATGGTACAGGATGAATGTGCACTTATACCAAGAACAAGTATCCAAGGAGAAGCGATGCTAGAGACTGTCGATCAGAGAAACCAAGGGTAGTCGCCAACCACAGAATTCAAGGTGCAGGAATCTTTTTAAATGTGCAAGACTCCCAAACTACAATGCAACACTATCTCAATACTGCATATTTAAAGGGGAAAAGAAACAGTGGCTAGGGAGAGTTCCTAAAGGACCAAAGGGTCACAACACAAGGGAGAGAAGACAGTTTCACCAATTGACAGGACATTTCCTTGTTTTGAGAGAACATCTGTCCCAGATGTTCGAGAATATAGGTTGTGGCATCATGGAGATTCGAGTCCACCTCTTCCTGCCTGGATTGCCTTGTCCAACTTCCTTGATTTACATTTGTCAGATGTTTTATGTGGTAAATCCAGAAATGCTGCCTACCTCGAAAAGTTCCTATAGGCATGGTATGTAAATTTTTATATAAGCATTGAAACATATGGCCTTTGCACACAGGCTTGATAAACTGGAGCTATTATTGGAAGTTCATCTTTCCTCATTATTTCAAGTTTTATGATTTTGTTAAAAGAAGGCTAGTGTTGTCACTGCCTTGATAATCAGAGAAGACAGTGCATATACTACTCATTGTCCTTCTGCATATCACACTATCTTAAGAGGGTCCTACTGAGTGAGTGTTGATCACACTGTCTTAATCCATCCTACAGTCATTGTTGATGTTTCTGTTTTACACATTAAAACCCAAACAAAACAAAACAAAATCCTCCTGATCAGTGGGAAGGACTTGCTTGAATCCATCTAGTCTGCCTGAGCCCATTCCTAACCTCAGAGTTGTGCTTACTTCCTCTTTTGCTGCACAGGAACACCCAAACCCTGCCTGATCTCACTCACCTAACCTGCCTTATGAGCTTTCTTTGAATTTACACAATGCTGCCAAAGATCAGGATGATTAAAAGCCACACATGGTTTTCTGTGTCTGCAGCCTATTGCATTCCGGTGCCTGGGGATTTAGTTCAGACACCCGCTGCTTTGGGGTTGGGGCCAGCTGCCAGAAAAGTTTCTCATTTCCAAAGCAGCTGGGAGGGCAAGAGGCAGCTGCTCTGAAATGTGTTTGAACCTCTTCCCTTCCAGGAGGAGACAGCTGTACTTATCTATAGAAAGGCACTGGAAGATTCTTTTGTTTTCTACGACACTCTAGGCAAGCTGAAAGAGATATCTGACTTGAAAAGAAACTAAATTCAGCAACAGAGCGTTTTAGTATTTCCCCACTGTGGACAATTCCCCTGCCTCTGATATTTTCTCCGATCCAAAGTGTTTGTGTGAAATAAATGGAAGGCCATGATTTGAAGGACACTTTCATTGTTTTCCTCAAGGTGCGTTGCGTTTTACGTGACATATTTCATGCTTCACATCCCAGATAACAGCTCTACTGCTCGAGGCCTCCCTTGGAATCATTTCCAAGGAACCATCCTGTCTCTTTACCTGTCATCACCCTATTGCTCCAATAGGTTGGATCAAGCAATTATGGCTTAGTGGTAGCTCTGCTCATCCTAGATTTAGCCATTGATGTAGTGCATAGGCATTACTTTTCCAGCCTAGATTGGGTGCGCACCCAGTTCTGAAGCCTATGAGCACATGACACCATGGGAGCATGGGACACTGAAGAGTTATGGCGGAACCCAGAAAATTGGCACCTTCATCATAAATTTTGTTGTTACAATTTTATAATGTTCATGCATTCAATATAGATTCTATTTTATAGGTATTATTGAGTTTACTCTTCATTTAAGTCATAATGGTCAATGATAAAATTTATGGGGTTTCATCAACTATGGTTAAGCCTTAGAAGACTATGAAAAGGTTAAGTCATAATGTAAGTTTTAAGCACGTAGTGAAATTTCATGCATATAAAATATTTGACAAAATGGCATTTTTCTTAGAATTACAAAGACACATTCTGTAAAAATCTGTATAAATCATATGCATGCTTAGTGAAAACGATGTAAAATAATTTATCTCTTTATTTATATATCCCCTATTATTTTTAATAAGATACTAGCATTGTTCTAGGGAATCATAAGCATGCCTGACACATTTTGAGGATCATTTAAGTATATAAAGACTTAAGACAAGGAAAGCTATTCATGCTGTCCCCACTCTGTGTGTGTGTGTGTGTGTGTGTGTGTGTGTGTGTGTGTGTGTGTGCGCGCACCCGCGCGCGTGGGGGTGCACATGCGCACACATGTGTGTGTTTCTCGGTGTGTGTATGTATATCTCTGTGCATGTTTGTGTATCTTTAGATATTTATATGTGTGAAGGTACATATCTCTATGCATATGTGTCTCTGTGTATTGTGTGTATGTGTGTATCTTGTACACATGTGTGTCTCTGTGTATGTGTATGTGTGTATATCTCTGTGGATAGGAGTGTCTCTGTCTATATATGTGTGCTTCTCTATTTGTGTGTACATGTGTGTATCCGTGCACGTGTGTGTCTCTGTGTGTGAATGTGTATATGTATAGATGCAGTGTATGTATGTGGTGTGTGTGTGTGTGTATACCAGTGACGAAGCTAAGCTAACAGCATTATATTTTATTTATGAACAATATTGATTGAAGAAATACACAAATGTGTTAATTTTACATTTTGAAGTACACTATTGTAATCAGTGAAATGAAATACTACACATAAGAAGGTTCTCAGGGTTAAACCAGAACAAACATCCAATAAGAAATAGAGGAATATGCATACCCAGGCAGAAATCTCATTGTCCTTGTCACTGCGCTTTACAGAATTTTACATCATCAAGGTGTTTTATTTAGTAACTTTCAGTCAGAGTTAACCTATAGGAGATAATTGTCAAACTATTAACAGACAGACTTGCACTTTGGGTATCCTGTGTCCCATGGTTTTACATTCTCCATCTTCTCAGCTCCCAAAACTATGGAAGTTTGTGCTGATGTGACAACTGGCCATCAGCAGGCTTGCTTCACATTTTTCCCCATATGACCACATTCCTACATTAATTGCCTTTTGAAACCTTTGGAAGTGTTTCTGTTTCCTTTCTAGACCTGGAGGATGATGCTCACTGCAAGGCAGGCAACTGTCTCGTCCACCCTTGACCAGCAAGAACGACGCAACACCGAGGAATTGTCTTATCACAGTTTATTTGGGAACCTTGCTTTACAGGGAGTGGCCCTGGGTCCAGGAAGACCGGGCCTGATATATCCTACAACTACCAACCACCTAACTCCATGTGGCGCGCCAGGATAGGTGGTCTCCAAGCAGAATTAAGAGGATACGTGGCCTTTACCAAATTAGGAGTTGTTTACCCCAGAGAGCATTTGCCGTTGGGCTGGCAGAAGGCAGAAACCGGTGCCATCTTTTAGGCGCAGTACTCTGCAGCTCCCAACAGTTCCCCCTTTTTGTTTTAATATTATAGGAGTAGCAGTATTTATCTGTTGTCAGATTTCAGTCATCTCTGTCTTGGGTTCAACCCCAGAGTCCCTATCTTACCCATCAAAGAGTCACTGTGTCGCCCTCACGGCTCATGTCTTAGGTCGAAGGGAACACATGTATGCTTATTCGCTCAGCAAAAGGGTAGGTGCCCGTCATTGAGCATGACTGATTCAGATATGCATCACTCACTCAGCAAGGGAGAAACACACCCATTTGTCTGTCAGCATGGATAACCATGCTGGAGGGGATTGTCCTGCTTCCACAGCAGCAAAGGCCTGTACCAGCATGGCAGCTTGGGATTTTTGCGACTTCCTGATCCTGCAGAGACACCACAGGCAAACAAAAATGGCTAACAGTATCATGGAAAGCATGCCCCCCACCCCAGCCCATTCCTTAACTAAACTAAAGGCTTGCTTAAGAGTAGTTAAGAGGGTATTAACAGTGGGCATGTACAGGCGTGTAGCATTCACAGCAACGTTCTGTTGTGTTAAGGTATCTGTCAGGTTCTCGAACTGTCGACTCCAATTTCCCTGAAGGTAGGCACTCAACTGCCAACTCAGGTTGCTGTTCTCCGTGAAATTGTTGGCCATCCTGGAGGTGATACATAAAGAAGAAAAGGAATGAAGAAAAGGAATGAATGCATCCTATGGAAGTTAAGGTTACTAAATCATCCACCTGTTCCTGCAACAGGTCCACTCTTTGGTTCACATTAGAATGCCAGCTTTTAAGTGGCCATCAATAGATCTTAAGGTAGTTAATGTTGTGACCGTTTTTTTCCACAATGTCATTGACCATCTCAGCTGTTTGGACCTGAGCAGCCATGGCAACGGCAGCAGTCATAGCCGCTGCTGCCGAAAGGGGTATAGTAATAAACAATGCTGCAGTTATGCCAAAATCCCGTTTGGTTCTGATGATCTCTGTAATGGGAAATGTTCCTGTATCCACTTTAACCAGAATAGGAACATACATAGGAATCCTCATCACTACTGCTGTATTAGCAGAACCATTCCAACATTGACTAGCAATACAGGAGACGTTGGTCGAATTATACGAGATCACTTCTTTGGTAGCATTAGTAGCATTAGAGAGCAGAAAGAA